TGTTATCTGAGGTTAAAAAAGCTGACTGACCTGTTGCAGTGATATATGCTCCACGATAATCTCCTTGATGAGGCCGCCGCCGAACCAATAGCAATGTCGATATGATGAGATAATCCAGATAAATAACAAATAACTTCTGGAAGTTGTCGACTATTGAGGGTAGTGCCTTGGTGTTCAGTTAAAAAAAGAATACTCACCACAGATAATGAAGAACACACAAGAAATAACCGTATTAGGAATAACAACGAGAAATTCAACAGAAAATTGCGAGTCTTGCCTCGCTATCGCTATACCAACAGTAACCAATAAAGAAGGGGGCCTCAGCCCAAAGAAACTGAAAAAAAGGCTTGATAAATCAAAAAAAGGTGAAAGACTTGAATACGGGAGGGGGTACACGGATGTCGCCGCGGTCCCCGCGATCGGCTGAGACGACCGCCTATATGGGGGCTTCGGTAAGATTGCTTACATACCCGTCAATTGATTTCGCGTTAATAGGGGGATGCTGGGCGGTTTTTCCGCGCGCGGTTTTCTCCGTCCCGGCATGTCTGTAGCGACATCTGTGACCTGTGATCCTAGTCGATTGTGGGTAGACTACACTTCTCATTTTTTAGCTGGTGTCGTTGCGACAACACTGCCGGGAGACCGCTGGGGCGCGCGCTGTAAGGCCCTCCAAGACTGTGCTTCTTCGTCTCTCCCAATACTCTATTTCTTCCGGCAGGTGGCATAATGCCTCGTGGTGATTTGTGCTGTTGCAATATTTGCACGGCTTCCTCTCCGTGCAAATTCCATGCATTTCTTTTAAACAGAACCAGCAGAGTCTTTCTTTTTTCACGATTTCTTTCCTTCTTTGCACTGTTCGTACCATTGGGCACGAGTCCGCTTCGTGGGTGTCCTTTAGGCAAAATATGCAACGGATGAGGTTCCCGTTACTGTCTCGCACGGAGTGGATTCCAGTTTCAAACCTCCTCGTTTTACACCTTCTGAGTCCCTTCAACTTGTTCTCTATGGCCAACAATTCCATTTCGCCATCGACTCTCTTCTTTTTTTCCTCTCTCGGTCTCTCTTCTTCCGGTTTCCTTTTCCTTTCGAAGCTGGTGGTGGGTGTTTGGAGTGCTGGTTTTTCTGAATCCGAGTCTGTGATCCTCAAGTTGTCCTCCTCCTTTCCGCCTTTTTCGCTGATTTTCTTGACTAGGACCAGTTGCTGAATTTGGGCCTCGATGGCAACTTCGATTTTCGCTTCTAAGTCACTCTTGGCTTCTTTTATCGCTTTTATGATCTCATTCTTAATTCCTTGTATGTTTTCTCTGAATTCTTCTTTCAATTCTTCTTTCAATTCTTCTTTCAGCTCCTCCATTGCTTCGGGTAGATGTCCTTGTTTGAGTTCCTGCAAGTGAGTTATGATTTCTTCTAACTTTTGTTCGAGTCCCGCGAGTTCCTCTTTTTGCCTTTCTTGTTCGGTCTTCTCATTTACGGTATACCGGAATTCCTTTCCAATGCTTCTTCTGAAATCACTGGCCATCTGTATCAGGTTTTCTGTTTCGGAGTTCACAATTGTTTGTGTCATTTCCCACGATATCGGTCTCGCATGTCGCCGAACTCTTTCCTCGAATAGCTGTCTGCTGCGCTCCGTGGCGTATCCTCCATCGACCAGAAGTTGGTAGACGTCCCACATAATGTATGAGTTCTTCTTGACAAACGACATCTTCGCGATCGAGTCCGTGATTCTTGCCGTCCAGTCCGTGCATTTCAGGAAGAGATCTTGCGTCATTTCTTGTTCTGCGATTGCGTCACTTCTGATCTCCTTGAATTCTTCGGCTAGTCGAGTGTTGAGACTGATTATGCTGCTGAGCACTTCGTAATCCGCCTCCAGTACGTGTTGCACATCTCGTTCACTTATGAATCGGCGGCTTCTGGCGAACTTCTCATCCAAAAATTCTTTCGCTCTGCTCATCCTGAAAGAGTTATTGTTTTCTTGATTGTCATCTGCTGTAACCATATTCATAAAAAATTCTTCTTCATCTTCTTGTGTTGTAATAAAAAAATCTTCTCTATCTTCATCTGTAGATTTATCTGTTTTTCTTCTTTTTCTTAAATTGTATTTGCTTGTCATGTCTGTGTGCGATTGTGATTCTTGAGTGACTGGACTTGAATTGCTTGGTATATAGTCTTCTAGTTCCAGTGGAACAAGATGGTTGATGGGTCTTCTCTGTTTCCTTCCAGAAGAGGCTATGATTTCTGCTTCTCTTGGTGAGCCTTCTCTGAATTTTGTTAGATTTGTGATTCTTCCAGTTTTCCAGGCATTCCTTGGTTGGTTTTGATCCATTATCAGTACGATTTGTCCAATTTTTGGTGCTTGGGCCGTGCTCCTTCCCTGGTCTAAGTTTCTTCTGTGGTGTTCGCGGAGGTCGATCAAGTAGTTCTTGCTCCATGCATCCCAGAATTTCTTGGTGTAATTATAAGACTTTTTCAAGGCTTCTTGTGCTTCTCTCTTCGTACGTAGTTGAATTGCTTCTTCAGGCGGGAGGTAGTCCTGGTCTTCTTCTTGTTGGCTTTCCTCCGTTTCCATTGGGTACGTAATTATGATGTCCTTCTGAATGAAGTCTATTGGTCTTATATTCGGATTATCTTCGAATTCTTCTTCCTGGTACGTAAGTGGTCGATTGTTTAGGCTTGCTTCCACTTCCGTCATAAGTGTTTGTAGTGTGTCGAAGTCTAAGACCTTGCTTCCAATCGCCTTGTGTAGGGCTCGCTTCACTGACTGGACAAGACGTTCATAGAAACCTCCTTGCCACGGGGCATACGGAGTTATTGTTTTCCATTCAATTGCTTCGTTGGCGATGAACCACTTGGTTTCTTCGCTTTCTTCAAATTTATTTGCTGTTTCTGCGAGTATTTGGTTTCTATGAACGTCTTGTCCAGTGAAGCGAGCCCACAAGGCGATTGGGAGCAAGGTCTTGGACTTCGACACACTACAAACACTTATGACGGAAGTGGAAGCAAGCCTAAACAATCGACCACTTACGTACCAGG